CAGTCAAAATAGTTTTAGGATTATATAATTAATGAAAATTTCCTGTATATTTTTCAAGTAAAGAATAATAAATAATCTAACCAAATAAAAACAAATACAATTAAGATAGTTTTTCTATAGATTTGATAAATAATTATTAGCTTCATCACCTTTTCACCTATATAATGTAGAAAAAACATGATGATTTTGCACTCACAATTAAAAACAAATTAGGCTAAAGCAAAAATGGCTCCTTACTCAATCTCTTTCACAACATTTCTTGCTTTGGTTTTGATAATTGTTTGTTTCAAAAGTGGCCACTCTAGATCTTTAATCCCCATTGAAGATTATGATCCCCCAAGAGCAAGTCATTGTCATAATAATGGTGAATATTGGGTTTGTCCACCCCATAAAGGAGAGCATGTATCTAATGCGCTAAAGTATGGATTAACAATCAAAGATAGACGACTTGTAACATCCGAGCATGATTCTCCAATTTGGCATCCTGTTCCAACTTGGCATAAAGTTCCACCACGAGTACCACCACCACGAGTACAAGCACCACCGCCAAAACAAGATCGAGTAGATTAAACATATGTTCTAAAAAAATTATGTATGTCCATCTGTAAAATGATGGTTGTGTTGAATCGTTGGTGAATTTCAATTTCAATTTTAATTATAACATCTTTATTTCTCCCTTTTTTCTCTTTTTATTTATTACAAAAGCATCATTAATCTTGATCCTAAGTTCCTAACAATGAATTTTAGTTGAATGGTTAATGATGTGGTTCAACTTAGATTTAATTTATATACTAATGGCAACGATGTGAAGATTTAATTTATGCATTATTAAGATAATTTAACAGGCTATAACACATAGCCTTATTATCCTTTAAATTTAAGTTACAAATCAATAAAGATTTTCTTCAAAAATATTAATATGACTAAAACTTAATCCCAAATTTTTTAATTATGGTCCTTGAGAACCAACTTCAAGGTGTGTTCTAATACAAAAAATAGTGATAGTTGAGGTATAAAATTTGCGAAAAATTCATAATTTAGGTAGGTAAATAGAACAATCGATAATTGAGGTATGAAGCTGACAAAAAAAATTTAATAATTTAGGTGTGTTTTTACGATAAAATAACTTGGCAACATATGATAAATCCTTTTTGTAAAAGCTTCTAAGTGATATTTTTTTCTTTTCTATTATTCTTTCTTTTAAAATCATAATATCTTTTGATTTTAAAGTGTATTACACATGTTTTATGCTACTATTACACATATAGTCCAATAATTCACATTTTTTAAAAGTTAAATGCATGCTCACATGTAAAATCCAAGCTCTTTTCACTTTAATTTTTTACGTTACACCTTTTTATCAATCTAAGATTTCTACGATATAAATGCAAAAATCTTGAACTTTCCATCACAAATAATAATAATTATTATTATTACCAAAATGGGCCGTTCGATTTTAATTTTCGAGTTTGTGTTTTTAGCTCTAATTATTGCAATTAGTTGTGTTAATGGCAATTATCAATGCTCTAATACCTTTGTTAAGCTTTTACCATGCAAATATTTTTTTAATGGGAAAGGGTGATATTAGTGGTCATTGTTGCAATGGTGTTAAGTGATTAATGAAAATGGCTACTTTTGATAATGATTTGAAGCTTCAAAGCATTTGTGAATGCCTCAAGAAAGAAGCTTTGGCTATTGGAGTAATTGAAGAAAGAGCTAAGCAAATACCTCAACTTTGCAACATTAGCCTTTCTATTCCTAGTGATCCTAATGTGGATTGCAAAAAATAATATTTTCCTCCCTCTTTTAATAGTTGTTCACTTTTGATTTTACAAATTATTGTCATGTCAGTCTTTTTTTTTTCATTTGGTATTTAATATTCGTGTTGGAGTCTGTCCAAAATCTGGATTAGCGTGTTACAAGGCCTTATCCAAACAAGAACCCTCTAGTTAATGGGGTGAAGGAATTACGATTCACGAACCATCCCACTACAATCAATGTTGATAATTATTGGCAGTCAAAGCCAATAATGTTTGTCGGTTATCCCCTTTATTAATTTCTTTTGTGATATATGGACCTTTTAGATTACACCCCCAGCCACAATTATTAATTTCTTTTGTGATGTATGGACCTTTTAGATTACACCCCCGCCCACAAATATGTTGATTGTGAACTCAATTATGTATAAAAAAAAATAGTATTTATTAGTTACTTTTTCGATCCTGAAATTAAAAATATAGCTATTACTATTATGAAGTTTCAAACTCCACAAGTAAAATTATTTCATGACGACAATGTCTTCGTGCCGGTAAGGTTAATCATATACTAATCCTGATTAATTTGATTAATATTTGTTTGAGGAGATTAAAGGATTCATCATCAACTAGAGTGTTCAAGCTGAAGAATTACAAGAATACTGAGATGATGGCATTCATAAGATCAAATTATAGTTATCATAATGACCATTCAATTTCCCATGAGAAACCTCTAATTGTCAATTAAGTGAATGTAAATTAAGTTCATGGCTAAATTACCATTTATTCTAATTTTAACTTAATATGATCAGTTTATTATTTTACGAATTGGTTTGTTTTTGGAAAATGCAGTGCTATAGCTCCATGAAGTGGAATACAGAAATAGCTAAGAAGACTATGATCATTTCATTAGACTTAATGTGTATTGTGTTTGAATATGTATGATATGATCAAATGTTTTATCTAATAAATTATTCAGGTTGAACTAAATTTGGACGGATAAAAATAAGATGAATTAATAAATAGAAACTAATACTCCATAAGAGTTGACAAAATGAAAACTCTGAACCGATGGCTAATATGAGACTTGTTGAAAAATCCAATCCTAATCTTCTTTAGTTTTCTTTTTCTAGTAGGATTAATAAAATAATAGGAGTATTAGTTTCCTTTTTCTAACTTACCTAATTACAAATTGGAACACTATATATACGTGTGCGCTCTTAACTAGTTTTATCATTAGTATAGTTCTAGTGCAATTTTATTTACGTACATACAGCAAAAACAATGACAACATTCTATGTTCATCCATGTCAAAATCCATATTTTTTCCCAATTCCAAAAGTTGAGTATCGTCCAATTCAATTAACAGAAAATCGGTGATCCATAGACAACCTATTTTCATCTGCTGGGTTTTTTCGCTCGAGGGATGTATCAAGATCAATACTGATGGCAGCTTCATGCCAAATTCTGAGCGGGTTTGGAGGGGTGGCACGCGATGACAAGGGAAGGTGGTTGGGTGGATTCTATGGACGACTTGGCATGAGAGCCATGTCGAGTCTCACAATTGAGTAATGGGCAATACACGGAGGTTTGATTTTGGCAAAGAATTAAGATTTGAAGAAGTTATTATCTAGACATATTCGAATGAAGCCTGTGTCTATGTCAGATGGGTAAGGTCTCGGAAAGTCTTCCTGACCGCGCTGTTATAGAAGAATGCAAGGGTCTTATATCCGAGCTTGGAATTGTACTGATTCATACTTTGAGACAGGAAAATAACTGCGCCGATCACTTGGCGACGTTGGGAATGATAGAAGAAGAGATGGGTAATAATAGATCGCCCACCACATTCCGTGCAACTTTTGCTTCGTGCGAACATGAACCACGTAGCATATCCTAGGTATCGGAAACATGTAAGGATCGTGAAGTTGTAAATCATTTGTAAAAATCTAAAAAAACTTTCATAATTAGGAGTGAAGATCAAATTTTAATTAAAAAAACTTGTTTTTTTTCTTCAAGTTTGTTGTTTAATTATAGTGTAAACCTTTACTGAAAAAATGGAAACATGTAACTTCACATATTAATAATCATTCATATTAATAAGAACTAATTCAATTTAATAAAACGTTAGTCATGTGTTTATAATACGTTGCCTTGGATATTATCATAAAAAACTTTATTTACTAATGTGAAGATATAAATATTTTAACTCAAAGTTCAAAATATATTTATTGTTAAAATGTAGGCATATCTTTCTTTATAAGTTTTAAATATTCTTTTTACGAACTTCAACGTTATCTAAGAGAAAATAAATTTGTAAAATGCATCATTAAAAATTTTGAGGACCTAAAGCAATTGTTTTACTAGCCTCATGCGACAAGTTGTAGCAAGAAGACTTGGTAAATGAACTACTTCCATCATCAATGTGAGATTCTTAATTTTCATTCGTCACCCTCGATTCTCATTCATTACCCCTAACTATGTTTGATCCCTACGTGGACAATCTATCTGGGAACTACATCGAGAGGCCTAACTTTGATACCATGTTAAAGAAATGAATCTTGAGCTTAATTTAAAGTACAAAAGCTAACTCAACGAATGAGAAATGCCCAAATCATATTAAAGAGACCACTCATTCTTAAAGGGACGATGTGGAATTGTTCATAACATCGTCCACCACTACATTCCATGCAACATTTGCTTCTTCGATAATGGCCACGTAGCATATGCTATATATCCAAAACATGTCATTTAACGAAGGTTAGGTACGTTGAATCTCAAATAATAATGTTTTTTTGGGACTTTTCACTTAGACGCTTAAACTTGGTATGTTGTTGATGGTCAATTTTTTTTTGTCTAATATGACACTTATTGAATAGATTGAGTGTTCAATCGAAACAATCATAAATTTAAGTGTCTAACACGATAAAGTAGTAACTCTCTGAGGGCATGAAATGGTTTCTTTCTTAACTCTATTTTCCTTGCTTGTAGTGGCGGAACCAAGAATTCGAACAAGGATTAAACAACTTATGTATGTACACAAAATACGAAAAAAATTATTTTACTCTTAACAAAATTTCACTTCATTTTATAAAATTGATATAAACAAATGACAATCCAGGAAAGACACCATTATCAACACTCAACAGTGAAATACAATAAGTAGGAATTAGAAAATCAGCAAAAAAATTGACATCAAGGAAATAGATATATACTATATATATATATATATATATATATACTAGTTTCTCTACGTATCGATCGCACAGATTTTTGTACATCTACGAACAAACACACAGTAAAAACCTTGTCGTTGACTGGGATTTACGAAATACCAATAGTTTTATTGAGTATCCAGAGTGTAAGAGACAGTTGAATCGCGAAAATTGTATGAAGCCATGTCCGATCTAACATGAAACCATACACCGTGATTCCAGCTTTGTTGTGCTCGAAGTATGTCACTGCAACAATTTTTTCCATAACCGAGATCAATAAGGTACAACGTAGTCAATAACGAAGACATGAAATAATTCAACGAAATAAACAAAAACGCGCTAGAGACTAGAGTTACCTAGTGCTTGTCTCTTTTGGTAGGATATTGTACTGGCATGAATTGGTACCATATTTGTGTTGTCCAACACGTCGTCTCCATCTCCTTCCTCGTCTGTGTCCCAACTGGAATTGATAGGGTATACCATCTGAGGTGTCACGGTCCGAGCCATGGGAGTCTCCTCAGTCATGTCATCTAAGGTGCTGATTGTTGCACAAGCATGCCATTTGGCAGCAAGTGATGTAACAGCTTGTGCTTTGTGTGTGATCTTTGCTGCACTACGTAAGCACATGAAAAGTCCAGTTACCAGAGTAATTGAGCTCAACTGCATCGTAATGTGTATACAATGTCAAAACGGGATGGTAATAATGTTTGCAGCTACGTAATTAATAAAAGGAAATGAAACGGAAGGTGGGAATGAAGCATTACCGCAAGTTCACCCGCTGTAAAGATGTTCACAGTGGAGCTAGGCTCAGTAATAAGAAGCAGGGCAAGAAACTGGCTTATGGTAACTAGTATTAGAGTTGACAAAATGAAAACTCTGAACCGATGGCTAATGACGCGAAGATTTCTTCTGATTCGGAGATGTTCTATCATGATCGATGAGACATCAGATTCTTTCTCGAAAACTTGAGCAAACTCTTCCAGTCTAAGGATCTGCAGGGAGCATATTAACCGGAATAGGACACATACAAGGAAAGAAATTGATATCCGGTAGAGCCAGGAGCTTATTAACAGTATGCATACGAAGATATTGCTCAAAGCAGCATTGTACAGGTAAGGAATTTGGGTTCCCCCGGAGGAAAACCACCATATCTTGTAAATACTCTCAGCAATAAAAGAAGGGAGGACAAAAGATGACAGGATCTTCATCGACCTCTGCACGAAAAAAGGAGAAACTGTTATCCAGCTGAACACCCCAATAAAAGAAAATATCACTAATTTCTCCCAATAACAGCAAGGGCAACTTTGATTAACAAACCAGATGTGTATCGAGGCCAACTTAGTACCTATACAAATTCATGATTTGGGTTAAAAAGGGCCTAGGTAAATGTTTGGATCTTTACCAATAATAGAAAACGTCAAGATACGAATTTGAAGCATTTTCCAAGGCCACTAGCCTCAGCAGTATTTGTCAACTCTAGAAATACTAACATTTTGTAATCCACTTAAAACTGATGATTCTCCAACGATTATCAAACAGGCTGAAAATTTTATCACGAATGCTATTTAACAGGACACCATTAGCTTAAATCATAAGAAAAAGCTATAAAAATCAGTTCTTTCTACTTATGAGAGAACTGTTGAATTGTATGACCACATTATCCAAAAGCTTAGACTAGAAGGATCATTTTTATTTTACTAAATCATATATTCAACACCCCCCCTCACATGCAGGCATGATCCGGTTGATAGGACAAATGTGTGTGATTAAGGGTTGAGTAAGATTGCAACCTAGGACCGTTACACCTATATCATCTAAAAGCTTAAGCGATTAGGGAGAAGGCACCCAACAAGAACCTAGAGACTCAGCAAAGACATTTTGAATAAATCCCAAAAGCAGCAGTTCAAGTAATTCCTAAATCTAACTTAACAGCAGGGCAGAGCTAGAAGAGCGGAAGGGGTTAATCCAAACCCCCTTCACTGGAAAACCACATTGTATATAAAAGATCCAATCTTTTTCATACAAAGTAGATGTTGAGCACCTTGTTAAAAATCCTACATCCGCCACCGTTAACAACCATAATGTTATCGAACATGGTGCTTGCTTGTTTGTTGGGCTTAGTTAAGAAATAAAGCCGCGCCCTTGCTATCCACTATAGCTTTTAGCATGATAGTAAACACTTGATCCTAACACATAACACAATAGCTTTTGGCATGATAGTAAGTGTTTGATCCTAACACATAACACAATAGCTTTTGGCATGATATTAAACGCTTGATCCTAACACATATCGCAATAGCTTTTGGCATGATAGTAAGCGTTTGATCCTAACACATAACACAATCTGCAAAAGAAGAGTAAAACAAGAAAGGGGAAATGAACTTACATGTAGCTGTTCAGTGTATCCTTGTTGAACCTTTTCACTATCTTCATACAATTTATCAAGAAATAGAAACTTCCGAATCCCGTATTTCCGAGCAAAGCTAGAAAGACTAACAAATGATAAAGTTGCAAAAAGTGATAAAGAAACTTGAACAAGAGCATCAAAAGGTCTCTGATGCATAGTATCACAGGTTAAACAAGCAAACATAAAGTGAGATACTAATGGAACCCCAATTGTAAGAATGAAAAAAAGTGACCAAGAAAGACCAGCCCTCCATAGATTTGATTGATCAAGAAAAACCCATGTCAGAGCTGATTTAATCTTCTTGATTTCTTCAGAATATTCATGTATTGAATAACCTGAAGAAAGCAATTCTTTGTTACTCTGCAACAATAACCCTGTTTCACCTTCTTCCATTTTTACAAATTTCTTCAGCTAGAACTTACAACAAACACTTGTTGGGCATAATATGAAAAACCCAAAAAACACCAAATCAATACAAAAAAACTTCAAGATTCAATTTTTTTAATTACCCCAATTGGGAATTACACTTGTTGGGCATAATATGGAAAAACCCAAAAAACACCAAATCAATACAAAAAATTTCAAGATTCAATTTTTTTAATTACCCCAATTGGGAATTTAGTAAGATAATCAAGCCTTCAAGATGTGACTTGAATCAAAAGCTATTTATATACAATTAATTAAGGAAAAGGTTGATACAGATGGAAAAATAAGCCTGGTAGTAGGTCTGTTTGATGTTGACAAAAAAAAAAATCAATTCTTTAAGAAAGATTAAGAAAAACAAAAGATTGTTTTTTTACTTTGTAATCATGATTCCTTTTAGCAATTTTTGGATCATGACAATTAGTAGATCCTTGTTTCTTTTTTTCCCACACTATTGACAAGTGTCTGGTATCTGATTAATTCGAATTCGTGAAAATTCAAGATTCAATTTTTATGAATTTTTATAGTGATTTCAAAGTTATAATAATAACTTATTTTACGTCAAGTATTTAGTGAATTTCTTAATAAAAGTAAGTGGTTTAGATAAAAATTGCTAAATTCTCGTGAATTCATGACTTTAAATAGTATAACCTAATGTTTTAAGGGTAGATCTGCATCTACGTAAAATTAGACACCAATGTAATAGATCCACTTTGTTTGACTCGACGTGAAATTCAAGAATGAAAGTAATATTTTTAAAACTTATGATTAATACAACATATGAAAATTTGTGTGATTATAAAATTCTCATTAATGATAAAAATGACATTTAAAATTAAATTTTTACTATCAAATAGAGAAGGTATCTTTTGAAGAATGAAAAGTCTTATATCGATGATTAATAAAATAAGTGGTTTCCTGATAATTCTTCTTTTTTTTTTTTTGTTGAGCGTAGCTTTGAATGTAAGTTAGGCTTAACATGCAAAATTATTTTTGAGCTAAACTAAAAAAATAGAGTGTCATGTAAATTGTGATAGACAACGTACAAAATTTGAATAAAAAGTTAGTATTCTCGCATAAATTCATAGCTTTAACGCTAAATCCAACTTTAAATAAAATGTTTTCCGCTTATTAAAATTGATTCAATTCAGAACTCGAACATGAAATCCATATAATTAAGGTAACTTTTTGGTGGGGTGCACCATTATTATTGGTATAAGAGATTGTGTGGAAATGAACAATGCCAAATGGAAAATTTATTATGAAGAGAAAAGAAGGTGGGAAATCACAAGTAGCATGATGAAGTGAAAGGTGAGATTTGGATTGCTGCTTCGTGAAGCTTTTTTGGGACATCAAAAAGTAAAAACCCCCACCACCATCTCTCTTTTATTTTTTTCAAGTTTCGTTTGTTTTAATATGTTTATTTGATTTTAACTTTGATATAAAATTTAAGAAGATAATAGAGATTTTTAAATTTTATGGTCTTAAATTAAAATATGCAAAATATAAAAAAGAAATTCATTTAAGGAAAGTTAGAATTTGGAAAAAGAAAGAGACTTATTTTTTTAGTCTAACTAAAAAAAAAATTTATATAACAAAAAGAATTAAAATGAAGGAGTAATTATTAAGGGGTATTAATAAATAGTTAAAGCATATATTACGCGGTTGTTCGTGTGCAACATTTGACCTCCCAAACATTTTTTGTTTCGTGTTATTTATATTATGATTAGGACCGATGAATAGAAATATAGTATATTGTGCTTTTTGCCAAATTTGAAATTTTGTTATAATATATTTATTTGTTAGGTCCAAAATTTGTTATTTATACTTATTGTATAATTTTTAATGTTATATAGTGCAAGCCTAAATAAATGAATTTAATGAACTTATAAACTACATATTATATATTTCCTCCCTTGGTCATGAAACAAAGATCACATTTTTCTTTAATGAATCCTATGTGACGTGAATTTGAATTAGCTTAGATGTGAATGTAATATTTGGAATTTACTGATTACGAGTCAATTCAAATAAACGATAAATGAGTACATTAAGTGAGGTAAAATATTCTACACTAAAACGTTCTTTAATTTAAAAATTAGAATCAAATTTCTTGATTATGAATAAAAGATTTCAACCATCTTATCTTTGGACTGACATCATTATTTCCTCTTTAACTAATCTAGACTCGTGCATGGTTGCACACTTTCACTTGAGTTTCAACTCTTAAATAAATTATTTATATTTATCTAAGCTATCAAGCTTGAGTTTTAAAAAAAATAATTGATCGTACTCCTAGTGTAATTTATTATGTTGAAAAAAGAGAGAAAAGGACAAATAATCCTTTAAAAAGTGCAACTTGTGATTGAAAGAAAATACTTGTCTATTAGAAAAGTAGCAACATTTCGTTATCAGCTCGGATGTTTATGATATATGTTGCATGTTGGATTGAAATTTGACTAATTCGAGTTAAATTTACTTTATAAAATAAAACTCTAATTTTTTTAATTAAAATTTACTTTATTTTCAAAGCTCATACACATGAAATCTCTTGTTAAAAATATCAAAATAAGTTCTTATCATTCTGCCGCAATCTTTCCTAATGAAAAGGTTGCAACTTGCAAAGCATTACAATCAATTGAAGAGTAGAGCAACATCATGATTTTGACAAATAGAGACAATAATATTAACATCTTGTGTCTTCTTCATTTAATTAATTGCATTATATCTTGCTTTAGCAATAATTAATTGATTATAATTTTTTCCTTTTATAATCTTCAAAGTGGCCCTACATGCTGATGTATTAATATATCATAAATTATTAGGTGTTGAATTTATATTATGGAGTTTGTTTAGTGTAAATTGTAAAATGTAAATAGAGGCGAATATATAATTTTATTTTTCTACTAAGTACAAAATATTATTAGAAGGACCACATTGAATTGATATATACTCATTTTGTCGAATCATATTCTATGATATCAATTGTTAGGATAAGCCAACTCAAAAATATTCTCTACATAATGTAATAAGATTATCTGTTTTATACAAAGTTCTTGTGATTTTTTCAAAACTATATATCTCACATCATTATATTAGGAGTAATATTCCTAAACTTTATGTATATTGCCTTTTTTTCTATTTAGGTATTAATGTGAAACTTTTATTCACATACTCTAGACATGATGGTAGAACAACTCATGTAATATGTCCAAATTTTAATTATTGAAAGCTTTTAATGATATAATAATGTTGTAGAACTTTGAAGATACCAAGGTAGGCCATAAATGGAATCACATAAAGCAAGCAAAGTGGAGGGCTTAAAGCCTTGAATTGGAATTGTGGACACAAAATTAGAGTTGTCATTTCTAGTCATGGACATATAATGTTCCATCATATCCACATAAAGCTTGTGTTATTTCTATATAAAGAGTTGGAATTGAAATTGAAATTTGATTCTAAATTTTAAGACAGAAAGTTATAGCATAAAAAAAAAAATGTCAATTGTCCCTTTTATACGATTTTTTTGGCAAGTGACTCTCCTTTTTTATTTCTCTAACAATTTTTTAATTTTTTATATTATAATCTAAAAATCTCTTTTGAGCAAACTAAAAAACTTACGAGAAGATGATAATCTAATGTTTTAAGGAGTATATTTTTACAATTTTTAAAAATAGAAACAAATCAAAATAATGACCTAAAAGGGAAATTTGTGTGAATCGATCCGATCATTATGTGTAAAAACTAGCTAGATTCAGAACGTACTTTATTTTGTACATATTTAGTAACTTTCTTGATACAAATATTAAATTAAAATAAAAATAAAAATAATGGAGTTCGATCAAATTTTAAGTACTTTTTAAACTTTTATCAAATAAAAACGGGTGATAAGCACTAAAAATTTGACATAAAAAAACAAGAAGATAAGCACTACTTGGAGGGTGTTTTGGATTAATAACCTATCAAACTTTTTTTTTGTCAGTATATACACGTAACCTTTGTTTCATCTTATTCATCACAATTGTCTTTTCACATAATTTAAGTTAACAATATTTATGTAATTTTCAACATCATATATCCTTGTAAAAGTAATTATCAATATGTGTTAATTAAGAAATATTAGTTAATTAGTTTTAATGTTCTATCATTAGACAAGTTGCGTGCCGACAACTTCGGCTTCTTTTTCTTCTTATTGACTCATTAGTAATTTCAATTCAATTTGAATATGAATTGTATTCTCCCATCTCAAATTTTTTATCGTAATTTAAATTTTTTTTAGCTTAAATAATTAAAAGTTACCATTTCGAGTTATGGAGATAACTTTTTATAGAAATACAAAATAAGATTGTATACAACAAATTTTGTGATCCTCTCCTTCCGTAAACCCTAATGCATGATGGGAGCTTTTAGTCCTTCAGGTTTTCTTGTTTAGTTATCTCAAATCATTCGTTATTTTAAAAGTTCAAGAAGTAATTGTTCTTGAAGATTACAAATATCCTAATAGAGTAAATATTTAATGAAGAAAGATTATATACAAAAATATAAATAAGAATAAATTAATTAAAAATTATTTTTGATTAATATTTTCTGAGAAAGCGTGTCAATGGATAATTTGAGACGGATGAATATGCATAAAAAGCATGATGACAACGTGGGACTTGGTGTTCAGTTTATAATGCAAGCAACGTCTTTTTTATTTGGTCAATACGATTCAATTAAGCTAATTTAAAAACAATTATTAGAGAGACTATGATTTATAATCAATAAACAATTCAATAATAACAAAGATAACATCAGAGACAAGATTGAAGAGAAGACACGAATTCAACAAATTTAATATTATTAGTTCAAATCAGATATGCATATTTCATTTGTAATTAAAAAGTTATTTCCCTATAAATTAATAACTCAAAAGGCTAAAATATAGTGTTGGATTTTATTTTTTTTAGATTAAAAGTAAATTAATAGACAATGATAAATATTCATCTTGATCCGTTAAAACTGAATTGTAATAAAAGACTTTTTAGAACATGATTTTTTTTTAATTAAAACGTCTTCTCATAATTGATACGATTTTTTAATTTTTTTTCTAAGACGGGGTAGAGAGAAAGTTGGCATATTTGTCTAAAGGACACAACTATATATATATATATATATATATATAAACCAATCGCTAACATAAACTTTTAATCGTGGAGCCTCTAATTTATATCCTCACTTATAATTTAAACATAGAATAGAATGACCATATAATAACTCAAAAGGTGCTTTTATAAATCTTATATATTATTTTTTAGAGTTCTTTTTATTATTAGAATATTTAATACTCAAAAGGTATTTTTATATGTCTCATATATTATTGTTTTAGTGATTATTTTGAAGAAAAATCATAACAAGAAAAAATAAATTTTAGAAATAGTCTACAAGACCAAGTTTTATGGCAAATACATCTCACTTTGTATTTTTCGAAAAGTCCAACAGCCAAGGCACGGGGGAAAATATTTTATAAACAAATAAATTGATCGGTGACTTAAATAATAATATTTGTTTTTCCTGAAAAAATGACATTTATTGTTCATTAATTAGTTTTGCTTATGAAGTAGAAATTCGAGATATTTCAACAATTCCAATATAGTAAAAATAGTGTAATATATTGTCTATTAGACATAAATCTTAGTTATATTGACGTGTATATAGTTGAGCAGGTTCACCGTGTTAAAAATGTATCAAATGCTTACCTCATATACTCCTAACATATGCTCGACATGTAACAAATAGTGGCGGAATTAGAATCTTCACTTAGAAGATTTAAAATATAAAGATTAAACACATCAATATGTACTATATATACGTAAAAAATCAAATATTAATAGTGTAATTTTCTATCGAACAGGTCCAGATGACGCTCTTTGGCCCTTGCTATCTCCGCCCCTATAACTAGTAACGACTCTTATTTTGACAAGCCCACTTAACCTCATTTTTATTTATTTTGAAAAACTCAATAGGCCCAATGTTTTATCTTGACAAGTCAATAGACCTCATTTTGATGAGCCCATTAAGCCTCGATCCTATTTTGACAAGCCCAATTGATCTCTATATTGTGGGTGAAGTGCATGACAATATTCGATTTTGATGTTGTCATTTAACTTAACAAATTCTATAATTTCCCAATCTACGTGTGAAGTTTTTATACGACTACAACTTAGACACATATAATTGAATTTTAGTCTTTTTTTTTCTTCTTGAAATTCAATCATTTTGATCTTAATTTAATAATTTTCACTTGAACTTCAATCATATATATGCAAAAAAAATGGATTGAAGTCCACCCAATTTTTTAACGACTTTTACGCATGTCACTCATATGTAAATTTAGTCATTTCATTTGAAGTTTGATTTCTTCAACTCTAACTTCAAACACCATTTATTCAAAATAGATACATGTCGAAAAATGATTAAACGATGGGCATAAATTAAATGACGATATCAAAACGAGAAATTCCTAATAAGCTCATTGGTCAGTAGCGGGTGCTTAAAACAGGTCCAAAACTTCGGTTCGACAACCGACCCAAAAGAATATACCGAACCAAAACTTACCGAAAATGACAATTACAGTCCTTCAAAAATATCTAATTTTCCAAATAACGACAAAACATTTTGATACTTTTCAAAACTATCCCTAACTTTTCCAATTCCATCGCACTTTGTCCATTGGGCAAAGCTGTTTGGTTTCTCAGAAATCTAGCAACTTTCCCACTTCGGAATTTTCTTTTCCTTACCTTCCTTTGACCTCAAAAAAGTATTAATTTGATTTTTGTGGGAAGGAAGAAGGATCAAGAATGGCGATTTCGACTTCTGCTATGGGTTTTGGAACCTCAGTTTCTTCATATTCTTGTTTGAGAGATAGGAGTTTTGAGAAATCATCAGTTTTGTGCAATTCCCAAAACCCATTTCGGTTTAATTCTCTTTTTTCAATTCGGAAATCTCATGGGTCTTCACGGTGTTCGGTTTCGAGGTAAATTATTGCATAAAGTTCTTGTTTTTATGGTAAATCAGCTCAAAAATATGATATTTTTTCAACTATTTGCTGTTTTTTGGGTTGTAGTTTAGTAATTTTTTGTTGGAATTTGAAATTGACAATTGTGGCTAAGAGAATTGATTAAGTATTTCTTTGGTTAGTTAGTTTTTGTCAATTGCAAATGATTAACATTCAATGATAAAACAGGGCAGCCCGGTGCACTAAGCTTCCACTATGAGTATGCGGGGAGGGCTTGTCTATTGTAAGCACAGCTCGAACTCGTGACCTTCTAGGTTACTTGGCAGCAATTTTACTAGTTATGTCAAGGCTCCATTTCTTAAAAGAATTTTGCTATGCATTTGTGAGTTAAAAAGGACATTTAGTTAGCATTGGAATTTTGCAAATGATTAGCATTGAAAAGAAGGTTCTTGTGCATTTGTTGCTTAAGAAGATAGTTTATTTAGTATTGTAATGTTATGGGACTGAATAGAGCTGAATGAATATAGAGTATCTTATAGCCGACCTGTACTAGTTTGGGATCGAGGCAAGTTAATTGTTTGATTGTTTTTTGTAGCAATTTGCAGGTTGATTGATATTTTCTTGAACATCACATTGATGTATGATGGATTTGGTTTAAAAAAATAAAAATCGTTGTACAATTGTATGCAGAAAATCATGTAGAGTTCGAGCAACGTTGTTACAAGAGAATGAAGAAGAAGTGGTTGTGGAGAAATCTTTTGCACCTAAGAGTTTTCCTGGTAATGTGGGAGGGGGAAGTAATGGGGAGCCACCCGATGATTCATCCTCTAATGGTCTAGAAAAATGGGTCATAAAGCTTGAGCAGTCTGTAAATATCTTACTCACGGTAGGTATTACATTTTCTGAATCTAATTAGTGTCTTGTATATTTCTTTTCAACTCAACTGGCATCTTCGTCGGAATTGCGTGTCAATTAATATCAATCCACTATGGCTCGACCTTAAAATTAGTTAGTCTTGGCTATATTTGTTTTTCTGCAGCATGGTGCCAATAAGTTATTTCTCTACTATTCGTTACGCAAGGGCTACCCTTTCTCCTTTTCCCTAAAAGAAGAAAATTCAACTACATATGATCATGGTTTATGTTAAAGTTACTGTTTGGATTACTTTAGTTGCAACTTGAGCAATGCATCGGAATTCGGTAATAGAGTGTGCAACTTCATCTTCTTCTGACATGTTTTGTATTGTAAATTTATGGAATTGCTCTGTGCAGAGTGAATAAGTTATTTTCTGAAATTGATTTTATAGTATCATGTGATACGTTGATGAAAAGGTGTTTGACAGTATTTTCTATTAGGAACATCTTTATTGCATAAGTTTTATTGCTGAGTAGCTTTTCAACATTTCCATTTGGTTTGGAATTTGTCTGATCTCAAAATTATGCTGATAATTTCAGGATTCAGTGATAAAGATTCTTGACACTTTGTATCATGACCGAAACTATGCAAGGTTTTTTGTTCTGGAAACAATTGCAAGAGTTCCTTATTTTGGTAAGTACTATTCTTTCAAGCTGCTGATTGTTTTTTAGCACCTAGATCACTTTTCAAACATCTTCCTGTAAGATTGGAAAGGGATTTTTGTTTTGTTTTTTTTGCTCACATGTAATTACTACAGCACTTCCGTAGTGCTACCTTTATAATACAATCAGCAACAATAAATAGCTAGTGTGATCCCATAAGTGGGGTTCGGGGAGGTTGGGGTGTATGCAGACCTTACCCCTACCTTGGAGAGGTAGACCAGTTGTTTCCGAATAGACCCTCGGCTCAAGAAAACCGTTTTATGAACAGGTTTGAAGGATACAAGAGCAAAGAGCTATGATGAAAATACAGAAGAAAGAGAAAAATATTGACAACAAAGTAGTAAAGATAACCAAAGTAAAGAGAATAACAATAGTACATAAAATTGAGGAACACGATATAATACAATCACCATTCTCTCAAAAAGAGGTCACTTCTCAAACATCTCTCTGAGTTTAGGAATATATTTATTCTACTTGTTTCTTTATCTCTGAACATACATGCTAACTTGGTCATCCTGCAAGAGATCTGATTGTACCTCTCTAAACCAGATTACTGAAATGCTTCTTTTCCCCGTTGAAGGCCATAAATATCTTTGAGCAATTTAAAGAGACCGAATAACCCTTTCTTGATTTATTGTACTTATGAAAGATATTATTGTATATCCAACCTCTAATAAAGACATGTGTGGTCATGTGTTCATAACAGCATTTATATCGGTTCTTCACATGTATGAGAGCTTTGGCTGGTGGAGAAGAGCAGATTATATGAAGGTGCATTTTGCTGAAAGCTGGAATGAGATGCACCATTTGCTCATTATGGAAGTAATGCTCTTTCTTCTAACTTCTTGATTTCCTTTCAATGCATCCAAGTTTTATTTTCCTCTCTGCCTTTTAATCCACTGTAAACTGATGAGCATCCGTTTCTTTAGAATTGTCTTTCTCATACTGTGTAAACGAACTTCAAGTCTGAATTGTGTATTGTACTCAATAGGAAGCGTCACAGCCACCCCCGATTTCTGGTTTAGTGTGTGAGTTGTATATGTTCCGTCTCAACTAGCCATAGTTTATTCAGAATGAGTTAAAATATGAAGAGCTTGATGTTTCAGTTTCTCCATGTGCAAGTTTGAACTTTTTGCTGGAGGAGTATAGCTCATTTACTTATTAACTGAAAGAATAAACTTTTTTTCCGGGATGGGCTTCTACAGATTTGCACATCAATGTAATGAACGTATATGTCAGGCATCACAAAGCCTTAATTTCTAGAATTTTAATTGTGATATAATGGTAATTGTGGTTCAACTGCAGGAATTAGGGGGAAATGCTTGGTGGTTTGATCGATTTCTTGCACAACATATAGCTATATTCTATTATTTCATGACAGTCTTGATGTATGCTTTGAGCCCGAGAATGGCATGTAAGTTGGAATATTAAGATCTGATTTAATCATTTTTCTGCAACGTATGTGTGCTCTTCAACGAGTCTCTGTGGGTTTCATAGCTTCACGGTTTATGGAGTCTCTGAAAATGAAATTGGTGACTGGTCGTGAAGTGATTTTATGTTTGATAAGGCCCTTTAAGGGGTGACTAGTGGGTTTTTCATGTATGGCTATTATCTATTCTAATATTGATACCTTGAATTGAGATCCTTGAATTCTTGCAGATCATTTCTCTGAATGTGTGGAGAGCCATGCATACGAGACTTACGATAAATTCATCAAGGATCAAGGAGGTAATTTTTTTTTTAAAGAAGTTGAATAGTTTGAGCAGCAAAGTTGCATTGATGGAATTAGAAGTGCTACTTTCCTTCAATTTGTTTGTCTAACTTTCTTTTTTAGTCCGTTTCAAAAAGAATGTCTCTTTCCTTTTTGTCAACTCTTTAATTCCAACTTTCAACAAGGCATGTTTAAGACCATGAGATTGAAGGACATTTTGGTACAATCAAATTGAAGGGGAGGGAGTATATATTCATAACTAATATGTAGTCCTAATGCTTCTGCAGAGGAATTGAAGAATTTGCCCGCTCCAAAAATTGCAGTGGACTACTACACGGGAGGTGACTTGTATTTGTTTGGTGAGTGTTACAGTCTTACTTAATATTCTCGTGACCCGATATCTATCTGGTTCAGTAATCTAAACCGTTTTGTGATTGCATCAGATGAGTTTCAAACTTCACGAGAGCCTAATACTCGAAGACCAAAAATAGGTAAAACGCACCACAATGATATACCTTTAGTAAACCGTTTCTAGAAAAGTGAGAGACTATAATCCTGATTGAAATCTACGTTTCCTGTTTAGATAATCTATACGATGTATTCATGAACATTAGAGATGACGAAGCAGAGCATTGTAAGACAATGAAAGCCTGTCAAACTCATGGGAGCCTTCGTTCTCCGCACACAAATCCATGTGATGAGTCTGAAGATGATACAGGGTGTCCCGTACCTCAGGCTGATTGTATAGGTATCGTGGATTGTATAAAGAAGTCTGTCACCGATCCTCAAGTCATCAAAAGGTAGGGAAAGGAAAAACGAGAACAAACTATACTTGTATATACTAGTATAGCCAAAATACAGAGATATAGATACATGTTGTATCTTTTTTTCTGAGGTAGAACATGTTAAATTGCCCAAAAATGGGTAAGCACTTGGTTGTTTTCTCCTTTCAATAATATGTACTAAATGTAATCTTTTGGAATGTTTCAAAGCAAAATAGCCTATTAAAAGGAGAAGCTCTCCTTACTAAGATTGTTTTTATATTTAGAATTTGTACCCGAAACCTGTGATTAAAGGTGGAGGGATCTTGACAACTTTTGGATATATCGACTCCATGAGCATTTTACATACACACACACACCAGTATGTTACCCTTTAGCCCGTGACAAGCTCAGCTATAGAGTTCTATGCTTGTTCGCGGAGATGAATTGATATATTTATTGAATACGTTAGATGAGCTTGAAACCAGAGTTTTTGGCTTGACAAGGACGGTGTTTGTATCGAATGAATTACAACTCCAGGAAAATTAGGTCTAAATACTAAATTAAATTTAAGATTTGAACCAATAATTGGAATCATCCTGAAGAGTATATGTATCACAATACTATAGAAAGAAGATTCGATTATGTGGATACATGACGGTGGTGTCAGGTTAGCTTGCTTGGACCTTAACCAATCTATGAAGCTACGTTTTGGAAAACCAAAGTATCTTATTGTATTATGATATTATTATAATTATTACTATAGCAAAAATATCTCATAAAGTTCTCTGTAACTCCAGATTTTTAGGTCATGTGAAAGCGTGCATGCACAACAGTCTACACCATTGATGAGTAAATTGTACTTTATGGTAGATTTTGAAGACACATCTCCAAGTCGTCATCATCATCATAAAAGTAAAGGCCATAAAAAGTTGTTTGTCTTTTTCCCCTCTTATATTTCAATCTTTTATCGAACGTTCAATATTCACATTCAACACTTAAATACGAGACAATCGATCACCCTACACATGCCTAATTGCCTATATATAGTTCATGCATGATGCAACGAAAAAGTAGAATTAGGTTTGTTGGCCATGTTACACGACTCATAATATTTCTTTGTTTTTATTGGTCCACGTTTATCATATACTAAATTCCAACAATAAATAAAAATAATTAATATCGTGGCTCTGTCAGTAGCCAATTGTTTTAGAAAAGATTGTGTAGCACTCCAAATTGTCTCTATAGAAGAATATGTCAAAACTATATATTATAAGACCAACAATATCACGTGAAAATGTTGAGGTCCTAAAGTTTTTATGTAATATTATAAATAAGACCATAAATAATAATAATTAATTAGTACTATTCCACAGAAGGCGCAAGTATAGTGCGGTTGAGTACCTCTATTATTAATCGATAGATTGAGAGTTTTAATTATGCTGAAAATTAAGTAGACAAAATAAATGGAGATGTTAGAAAGACATTGTCAAAAGATCACATATAATTTCTTGGAGTTTATACACAAATTTAAAGAAAAATAACACATTGAAGAAAATTCTTAATACAAGTGATATCAATTTGTTTGATCTTTGTCGTAACCACTATATATATAGAGAGATAGAAAAGAATCAAAAAGTCATTCTTTATATACCTTAGATTCAAGAATAAAAATCAAAAAAATTTCATTTATGTTCATGTTGGAGAATTCTAATGTGAAAGAATTTGGCCGATTAGCTATTAAATAGTTCTAATTAAAGTAAAGTGAACATTATATTAATTAGCGGATATCGTGGATTAGTCAAGCCACTTGTTATAGAAAATTGTGTTGATCTCTTTCTGTCCTAATTAAAACTCTAAACTATTTAAAGTTTAAAAAAATGTTAATTCTATTTATAGTGGGATTAGTTTAACACTTTTGATTAGTCGATGGAAGTACGCCACGTCACTACTTTTATTGTGACAAGGTTGAACTTCAATATAGAAATTTTATCAAACTTCTCTAACAAATGCAATATATATATATATTTTTTCATGATACACACATCAATGACTTAACTATAGTTAAGTAATGTTACTGAAAAAATGCAATTTTTTTCTAAATGTCTCATAAGAATTTGACTCATCGATAGAGATTTTCATATATATATATATATATCTTAGATAATTTTAATTTCCTTTTTTCCTTCTCATTTCTAGGTGAAGTTTTAAGTACTTTCATTTATTGCACTTTGTATTGTCCCATTTTTTCTATCATAAAAATTGATGTGAGAGTGAGGTTAGCTAGAAATACATTTAATTGTAATGTCAAATTCATAATCAACTTGTGGCCAAATTTTAGTATCATAAATCTCCATGCATTTAATAGCGTAATTGGGAGAGCAAGTGATCAGTACGATGCTTAGTTTGTCAAACACGCATAAATATATAAAGATTTTAATTTGTCTTGTCCCGCATAATATAATTTGTTGTTTTCAATCCGTAGCGCCTAAATCAGTCATGAATCTCACCGCTGCTTAACTTTTTTAACCGTTTACATTGTGTAATTGTTTCTTTGGATATATATGGAGTTTAACAATTTAAACATACTTAACTAAAAATAAGTATAATTTTAGCACAGTTTAGTAAGTGAACCACTTAATGACGTTACATTATATTATATGATTAATTTATCCTAATTTACTCGTAGAAAAATGTACAGATGCATTGAAAATCTTTTAGAAATTAATTGATTTAAATCATTTATTAGACAACAAAAATTTAGATGCTAGAATGTTTGTAACTATTACTACTATATTTAATTTGGTATATATTCTACCTATTTTTATTTTAACACCACAAAATTAACAAGCTTATAATGGAATGATAAATACTCATTTATCCTTAATCAGAGATCTCGATTTGAAATCTCCTAAATACAATTCACTTTTATTAGGTAGCGTTTTATCCTCTACCATAAAACATTTACGAAACGTAGGATAAACAAAATTGAGAGATGATGACATATAAAATAATAAACTATTTCTTCATTTTTTCAAATTAGATAAATAAAGTAATGAATATATATTTTGAATACTGAACAAGAAAAAACAAGCTTTTCAACTAAAAAGAAAAGTAGGATAATTTTTTTTAAATATAATGAAGTATAAAATTGTAAATTCTTTCTTCATATTTCAAATTAGATAAATAAATATAAATAATATCTACTTTTAATATCATGAATAAATAAAAATGAACGGAGGAATTAATAAGTTAAAAAACTTAAACGTAAAACTTAAGAAAAGAAGTTTTCGGCTTGATTTTAATTGGTTGTTGAAAACTATATAAATCCATTTGAATACGAAAAAAAAAAGAAAATAATTATTATGAGGCGGTCACACTAACAAGTCTCTCCAGTTTTGAAAAACACCCGTTCCCCGCCAACGTGGTCCTTTTATACCCTCACAAAAATACAACAACAACCAAAAAAAAATCACACATACAGTAATCATCTCTCCCATTCCAATTTCCTTTTCATATTCTATACTATAAATATATATCATAACAACAATTATGTAATCGACGCATTGTAACAGATCGATAGACTTGAACCTTGTTCGTACTTGACCTGATCAGTTGGATCGGGTGGAGTGTGATGGGAGGAGGAGGAGGAGAGCGTAATTCAATGGGAGTATTAGTGCCGACGGTGAACGCCGGTGAAACTTCAGCTCCGGCGGGGGCGGAGACGGAGGCGGCGGTGGTTGGGACGGAGGTGGTGGTGGTGGTGACGGAGAGAGTTGCGGAGGAGGAAGAGGAAGAGGAGGTGGATAAGGATATATTGTGTCCGATATGTATGCAAATTATAAAGGATGCGTTTCTAACGGCGTGTGGACATAGTTTTTGTTATATGTGCATTGTTACTCATTTGCAGAATAAAAGCGATTGTCCTTGTTGTTCTCATTACTTGACGACGAATCATCTTTATCCTAATTTCCTTCTTAATAAGGTGAAATTTTCTAGCTTTTTTCATGAATTTGGATGTTCGATTTTGAATTTTAGTTAGATCGGTGAAGATTATACTGCAGTGAGCCTAAATATCCTTGACGATAGCTAGAGCAGTTTTTTTTCATGAATTTGGATGTTTGATTTTGTATTTCACTTATATATAAGTGTAATAATCGTGTTTGTTTGAAATGTATATGAATGGAGATACAAAATGTGTTGTATTGCGTTGATCGGTGAGCTGTGTAGTTTGTTTAAGGGCAATATTAGTAATACTAGTGTTTAGCAATGTAGAATTACATGCCTTGGAAGAATCTGGTTTCGTCCTGTTTGTGTTTATGTTACTGAGAAATGCTCAGGATTTGATGAATTTTAGGATTTATATGAGTGATTGGGGAAGTACATATTGAACCAGCAAAGATCAGTCTTTATGAGTTGAAAAATATACATGTTTGAATATAGTTAAGTCTACCAGGAATTATTATGCTGGCTTCTCATGTATATGTAGAGTAGAGTGTATGCAGATCTTACTCATGTTTCATAGAGATAGAGAGATCCTCGTAGAGATAGAGAGGCTGTTTCCGATAGACCCTCAGCTTAAATAAAGGCTTCTGTATATTACAACAGGACTTCAATGTTTAGGGTTGCAGGAATTCTTGGGTCAGCTGAGATACAGGAGTTAATGATGTCTCAAACCTATTTTATGTATTGCGTCAACGACACATATTGGGTGGAATATCATTGCATTTCTGTAGCAGGAAGGAAGTTACTGTTGAAGGAATCTCGCTCTATAGGGATTTTTTTGAATTTAATTGTGTGGTATTTTAGAAATCTTCTATAGAATGTACATGAAGATTTACATGGATTGGCGATTGGTTAATATAAATTTAGCTCGCATTAATCTGGTTTGATCTGTATTCTGCTCTGTGAGTTTTTGTTAATGTTTTTCAATTTCTATATTGCACCCCTGCAAAGGACTGAATTTTGGAGTTAAAACTTGATCCATAAACCAAGTTGTGTTGAAGTTTAGTAGTTTCATTTCCTTTGTTTCTATTTTTCTTCTCTTTGCTTCTATTCTTTTGTTTTATGGTCTTCATTTTTTCACTAG